TTGCATCAATTTCATAGTTAGGATCTCTATAATATGTCTTGCATGATACATTACTTCAATCTTGTTCTTCCTCTAGTAATGATTTATACCTAGACATCTTATAGGTTAATTCCTCTAAGTCTCTAAACTCAGTTGAGTCAAAATTCTTTCGAAGCCTAAATTCTAAGCCATTTTGAGCCAATCTCACAAATTCAAGCTCTGGAAGAATGACTCTACACTTGTTTCGTGCTTTTTTAAATCTGACAATAAATTAAACAGTTTTCTTATTAGGTCTCTGACTCAACCTTGCCAAGTCTGCCATAGAAACTTCTGGCTCCGTTTGGAAGAATTAGGCATGAAATGCCTCCTCTATTTGTTGCCAAGTTTGGATAGAGTCAGGTGTAAGGTTAATATATCATACAAAAGCTACCCCAGTTAGAGAATTTGGGAACAGTCTTAACTTCATAGAATCATTATTGGTAAATTCACCACATTAGGCAACGAACCTAGCAATATGTTCTACCGTTGATTGGTTTCTATTCTCATAAAGAAGAGCAAAGTCTGGTATTCTAAACCCTATTGGGTATTCATGTACCCTATCTTACCCATTCTAGATATGGTTTCCTATATATAGGAGTTTGAACCCCCCGAGCCATAGGTCCACACATTTCTCTCACAATATCGGCAATTTGGTCCCTAAGGACCATATTTTGTGCTTGTTGAACCATCACTGGAGGAACAAACACAGGATTTGGTGGAAAATCTTGTGCCTGAGGTCCTCTTGATCCATAGGGAAGTAGATTTGAGACTGGTTGTCCCTATGGTGCTGGCTGCTATTGAGGGAATGGGTGACCCCTCTGAGCCTATCCTACGAAAGGACCTGTGAAAGGTGTTGGACCAGGTGTTGCGTCTCTTCCAGTCGCAGGAAACCCTTTTAACCCCCTGGGTACAGAAAGGATTAGTGAACCCCCTTGTGCTAGGAATGCTTCGAACATGGGATTTGGAAACATCCTTATGCCATTTTCTTGTGTTAGCCCAGATCCACTAATTTGCACGGCTTCACTGTTAAGTAATGAGGCATTTTGATTTGTCATAGGCCTCGAAAGAGGCTCATACCAAGACTGGGGTGATGGTCTTTCATAGTTTTGATTACTAATTTGACCATTAGTACGTCCATTATTTTGCATATGCTGTTTATCTCTAGCCAATCTTTGTTGAGTGACATTTGAAATTTCCTCCATATGCCTTGTGTTAGTTAGTTGATAGGTATTCATTCGATCCATAAAGGATATTGCCCATCTTTCCATTGTGCTCATTAACTGCTGTCCCATGGTATCTACTAGGCCTCTCCATGGGTTTATTGGTTGAGTAGATGGAACAGTGGATGATCCAACTCCATGGCCTCGTCCAATATTTTGAACATATGGTACTTGCTCCGAAATGCTGGTCTGTTCGACCATAGGTTCTGATAAGACAGGTACTTCCACAGGATGTATTACCACATTATTCTCTGGATTATGTATTTCTACCTCCCCTTCCACACATTTTTTCAATCGTTCATTATCTCCTTGTCTTCTACGTCTAGCCATTTCAATTAGTCCCACTGGGCGTGCCAAAAATATATGTTGGCTTTTTGACTTTCGAAGGTTATTATTGTAATTTTTAGCGTGCCAGCAAGGATCAATCAATCCTTACAGAAGATTAATTGCCAACCAATTATCAGACGATTGTGTTTTAGTTCTTTCAACCTTAATGAAGAGGACTTTTACTGGTGGCTTTGTTTAGGAGAATTAGGCAAACAACGATTAAATGAAGAACAATTGTAGCATTTCATTAAGTAAAAATGAAAGACTTACAATGATCCAATTCAGCCTGGTAGAGGTTTACAGCAACAAGCTACTTGAAACTACTCCTATGAACGAAGTGCAATGCAGGAATTTGAAGTACAGAAATGTAAAGAACAAGAAATGTAAAAATTGAAAGGAATAAAGTAGATAAAACTGGTTCTTTGGATCTGAGTTCGGGAGTTCTTTCTGGGGCCTTTTCTGCTATTTATACTTCTCAATGATCACCGTCGAAAAGAGTTTGTAACCGTCGAATCATCCCTCCATGATCACTGATCATGTTTCCTCATAGTTAGCTCTACTACACCATGTCTGCAGTTAGGCTTCCCTCTTGATTTTGAATTCAAATATACGAGTAACTGTTAAAGCCACGTTATCTTGTATTTTTTTGCTGATCCAGTGTTATGCAGATCCACAATAACCAATATTAACTGCCACGTGTGTGATTACGATTGAAGATTTGAATTGTCTTCCCGCATTGCCCTCATCTTACCACGTGTTAAATTGTAATTGACCTATACAAAATATATAGCTAACATTTTATCTTAAAATTTACGTATACGAAAACAAATTCAAAATGTGGGTTTCTCTTGATATCCTTTGTCCTTGTCAATCTAAATTTTATTCTATTTAAATGTGGAAAGATGGCTGTGACTTGTGCCTTATTTTAAATTGTGTATTCCTTTGTTAGAGTATGAATACTCCTTTTTCTATCTCAAAAGAAGAAAATTGTTTTCTTTTTTCATTATTGGTGATGAAATTTTTGCATGGGTTTACAAATAAAAAATTATATACAAACTCATATTTTAGACACTTTTTTTTTTAAAATTTAATGATGTATAAAAGATATAATTGACTAATAATTAGAGGAAATATAAGAAATTGATAGCATTATTCTTTGCAAATTAATGGTTAAAACTTATTGTTCTCCTTTTGTTTCACTTCATGGTTCAATAACTTTTATTCTGAATTAATTAATCTTGAATGTCATTCATAATACAGAAAATGTTTTAACATCCTTAAAAAATCTCTACAATTTGATCTAAATTGGCACGATATGTTATGTGTGAATTTTTAATTTATTATAAATTTAAAAATAAATTATAAATACACATTTTCAAATTTGTTTAAAATAAGATATGTCTCCTATAATTTTGAAAATTACATCTTTTCCCTTAAAATTTTCAATTTCATAACAAATGATCTCATTTATTAATAAATCATCAAATTAATTAATAATTTTTAATGATGTCAGAAATTTATTTTAATTAATCATTTAGTTAATTTTATAATTGTATAGAAGAGTAGTTAGAAATATCATTTTTACAGTTAGTTCTATTAAATAAAAAATTTTGACAATGAGATATTTGTAATTTTTTAAATTATAAAAAATAATTCGTATTTTAATTAAACTTCAAGAGATATATTACCTTAAATTTAATTATATAATACTTAATTTGCTTATCATGTCATTGTAAATAAATTTACAAATAAAAATTTATGATTCTATAGTTTTAGAATTATTATTTGAGTGTGTGGAGTTATGTTTTATGTTTTGAGTTTTGATTTTTTGAATTATGATTTGAAAAGAAAAAATTTATTTAATTATGAGTTTTGAAAAATAGTTTTGGATGATTTGTACTTTTTTTTTGATTGATTGATGTATGGAGATGGGTCACTACTGCTCTATAGACACAATAGTGATTGTTGTGCCTCAATTTGAAGTGTATTATGAGCTTATTTTTATAATCTGAATCATTTATTTTGTAGGGTTTGTTGAGTACTTCATGCCTAACAAAAAGTCATATTAATCGGATATCAATAACTATATGATCGAATTGCATATTTTTTATGCTACTTCTCAAAAAAAAATAAAAATGAACGGTTCGGATTATAAAAATAAGTCCATAATACACTTCAAATTGAGACACAATTTCCTTTGATATATAGAATGTGGGAGAATATGAGGAGAAAGAGGAGAGAAGAAATGATTAATTGATTGATTAATGATAATAATAATAATAATAATAATAATAATAAAAAGTTTTGAAAGTAATTTTGAATTTTATCTTAAAAATTTATTTAATTATAAATTTTAATTCAAATCATGATTTAAAAGCAGAAAATTAAACCAACGTTATAAAATTTGCTACAGTTAAGCCCTTCATATTATGAACAATACAAGACGATAAGATTGGGTATTTGGATGAGTTGTTCAAGACGCAACATCAAAATTCAGTTGATAATTTGGATTGATATAAACGGTACAATGTTGACGTGGCTTGTAAGGTGTATAATTATTGGTCCTATGATTTTTTATTTTTATTTTTTAGCTAGGGAGGTGATCACTTTGTATATCATTAAAAAAAAATAATAATAATAATAATCCTAACTTATTTAATTTAAAATAAATATTAAAAAGTGTTTTACTAAATAACTAAAAATTTTAATGCTAGTGATATCATATCATATTACCAACTAATAATGGATCTCTTTTTTATGATGTCATATATACTAAGAAAAAAAAAGGTTATTGTTTGACAATAAATACAATAATTTTTTTTAGTTAATTTTTTTTTGACTATTTTAATTTGAAATTAAAAGTTCGTTTGTATTGATTTTTTTGACTTTTTTGAATTTTGTAAAAAAAATAAAATAATTATAATTTGAATACTATATTTTGTTTTATTGATTTTTTAGTATAATTTAATCCTCGTTTGGCATGTGAAATTTTGGGACTAAAAGACTAAATAAGTCACACAAAAAAAAAAAAAAAAAGAAGAAAAAAAAAACGAAAAAAAAAAAAAAAATTTAAGAAGATAAAATATCACATTTAAACTATAATCATTTTATTTTTTCTCTCATAAAAAAAAATCAAAATTTCATTCAAAACGAGACTTTTTAACCCAAATTAAAATAATTAAAAAATTAAAAAATCAAAAAATCAACTCACATCTCAAAATGAAACCTTAGCCAAAAAGCTCATTGCCAAATGAAGTCTATCAATTCATAATTAGATGATAATACATGTTATTGTATCACGATTATATTCAAAATCTTTTAAAAATATATTAAAAAAAACGTATTAATTTTAATAAAAATACACTAAAATTAGTTTTTTTTTTTTTTTTTAAGAGAGAACACTAACATTAGTTAAAAAATATATATTGTATTTTAGAAACATCGTATTTTTGCTTGTGGCTAAGGAAGAGTTGCTTTTATATATTGTATTTTAGAAATGCGAGTAGTAATGTAACCGAAATACGAGTAGTAAATGTAAACAGAGAGCAATGGATTCAAGAAACTCATCCGTAATTCTACAAATCTCTCTCTCTCTCTCTCTCTCTCTCTCTCTCTCTCTCTCTCTCTCTGTGTGTGTATAGATTATTGCTGTTTAATTGATGTTGCGATCTGTGTTTTTCTTGTTTGTGGCAGAGATTGAGCTCTCTGAATATAGGCGAACGAATCTGCGCTGTTTTCATACCGCTTATCGCCATATTTGAATATCTGGTATTCACTGTCGCTGGTTGCTTCGAGATCAAACACCGCCCCAAGAAAAGAAGCCCATTCGGATATCGAGAGATCGCTCAACTTTCTGCTGATTCTCGATGTAATTTTCTTCACTTATTTCATATTATTTTTCTTAAATTGTTGTTATGATTTTTTATAGAACACGATTTCTGTTCGGTGTTGCAGTTTCTGTCAATGAAATCGAGGCATTGTATGAGTTGTTTAAGAAGTTAAGCTGTTCAATCATTGACGATGGTTTGATTCACAAGGTATAATTAATTTAATCCTTCACCTATGTTGTTTAGTATAACTGTTGCTCAAATTTTATTTTCAAATTAACATGGGTGTGTGACTTGTGTTCAGTTTGTTCTATGCTTGACAAAGTTTTGATTTTTCTTTGTTGGGGTGGTTTTGTGGAATTAGGATCCTCTACTTTCTCTCTCTCCTTGAATCCTACTTGTTGGATCATTGGGCTCACTTTTAGGCCCAATATCGATGATCCGGACTATTCATATTTTAAGATTTGTTGATACCAGTAAAAAATCAAGTAGATCGGATGTCAGAAATTACGTGTTTGGATCATCGAGTTAAAAATTATTTTTTAAAAAAATTTAATAAACAATTTTGCGAACATATGCTTTTTAATATCCAATCAACTTGATTTTTAACAGGTATGATATACTCAACAAATTTTAAAATGTGAACGGTTCGAATCATCGAAATTGGGCCTAAAAGTGAGTCCAATGCCCCAGCAAGTAGAGAGTAAAGGAGAGAGATCGAGGAGAGGATCTGATTCGGTTTTGTGAGCTAAAATTTTAGATTTTTGCATTCTTTTGGGTCAAAACAGTTTTTGTATTGGGAAAAGGAAAAGCTTTAGCTATGAGGGGGAATGTAAGAAAGAACTATTTAGACTTATGCTATGATCCAAATAAATTATTAAATTTTTTATCAAACCTTTCACATGATGTGTGTGTGATTTGTGTGGGTCCCACACCCATGTGAGAGATTTGGTAAAAAATTTAATAATTTATTTGGGGTGCATAGCATTTTCCAACTTTTTATCTTCCAAACTTGATAATGTTGGCAGCAGTACAAATTTTATTCCTTTTTTTTTTTCCCCCCTTCTTTTTTTCTTTATGCTCTATTTGTCTGGGGCAGAAAACATTTTTTTGGAATGTGTTCTACTTTTCTGGCATTTGGTATAATGGAAATCGTTTACGCAGTTTACATAACAAGCCTATTTGGGTGGAAAATGTTTTTCTCTTTTAAAAATGGAAAATGTTTTTCGAATTGGAGTCTTATCAATGCCACTACACTACCGCCTCCACAGCAATTGCCACCACACTGCCGCCGCCACCACCCTATCACCACTAATACAACTATTAGCATATTACTTTCAAAGGACACAATCTAACATAGGAAAACAAAACGTCTTCTGTAGAACACATTTTTTTAAAAAAGTTCTCCATAGAAAATGTTTTCTGTAGAACATGTCTGCTGTCGAAATAAATGGAGCGTGTGAAATGAAATTCTATACTGATGCTTGAAGAACTTCTATGAGCGAATTAGACTCATGAATTAAGATTAGTGTTCTAGAATGTTGTAATTTATTTTTTTTTTTAAAATTATGTAGTTCATATTGCACCCCCAATTTTTTGGCTGGAAATGCATGCAATAAATGCTTCCACTGATACTAGCCAATTTCGTATGAGAACTTATGAATAATAACTACATTTATTCATCATCCTAAAACTATGAAAGAGTTAAATTTAATCAATTAGGCAACTATAAGTTTCAATTCCTATATTTTGTGATTGTCTTTGGAGTTTAGACTATCACCATCTTACCCAATCATCAAATGATCAATTTTGTGAACATATGTTGTTTCATTTTATATGTACACCTTTTTTGCACATATGTCTATGGGTGATCCTAATTTTTTGTTTCATGTTTATATTTTTTAGGAAGAGCTTCAGTTGGCATTGTTGAGAACTCCACATGGCGAGAATCTTTTTCTAGACCGGGTAAATCTTTTTGTACACCGGGTAAAAGAAACAAATTATCTCTTGTTCAAACTTTTATATACAAATCCCCATTTCAATTGTATGGAAGGAAAAAAAAAAAAAAATTGGTGTTACAATCGCCTGAAATTGGATTGGCATTTGTAGAAATTTGTTATGCCAATTGCCAAGTTGATCAAATTTCACTATGGAGAGATAATTAAATCATTCCCGTTGAAAAGAATTTCAAATCTCTTATACATTTAGAAAAGTAGTAAAGAAGATGTCCAGTTGTGCTCTCTATAAAAGTTTTTTTCTTGGGGCCTATTTTCCCATAATTGTGAACCAATCATTGCAAGAATATATGTTGCTTTTTATAAGCACTTACACTACGTGAACTTAACCAACAAGCTAGTCCCTGCTACAGACTTGCACATTTAACAGAACTCCTCCCATCATAAAGAGATCTTTGCTTTATTGATGGAACATAAGACGTCTTCTCACATACTTATAGCTATTGTTTAAGAAGAACGGCTGGTGCCAATCATCAAATGTATGTGCTGAGATTGCCAATTCTGATAATTATGATGGTAGCATGTCACTGTATGGAATGTTTGTACTTTGTCAATCATGTGCATGGAATCTGTGGGTTTGTTTCCTTGTTATTTTCCTTTCATGGGGTTGTGGGCTTTACTTCAAATCTTACAGGATCTAGCCATTGAAATTGTTTCTTTCCAGTACATGACACTTGAAATATGAAGTCTTAGAGAAACCATTTTTTTCTTTGGGCCCTAAATTTAATTTATTATTTTTTCTCAGAAATTAAGTTTGGGTGAAATTTATTGTCTAGGGTTTATGTTTGGACAAATTGGTTGCCTGATTTTAAAATTGGGTTCGCGTGAAATCTATGTTTGACCTGAGTCAAAATCAAATAAGGCTATTTCCTTCTCTATTTGGCGTAGCTTATTGTAAACTAAAAGCCGACAATCAGAACGCAGAAGTTGAGAGCATCTCTCCCCTAGCTTTCAAATAATAAGATTTTTTCAACTTATTTAAGCTATTTCTGCCTAATAAGCTGTAAGTAGAGGCTGCACCAAATAGTCTGGCCCAAACGCCCGAATTAAAATAAGCTATAAGCACGTCATTTAAGTTGTAACAAACACCCCCATTATCTATGGATTAGCTGCTTGAAGCCTGTGACATGTGATTCTGGACAGATTGGGAAACTTGGTTTATAAAGCATATAAGTGGATTTTTTTGGTAGGGTTTGTAATGGGGATAGAGAAGGAATTGGATGAAAGTATGGAAGATTAGGAGTTCAATTTGTTTAGGAATTTCAATTTATTTAGGAGATTTGCTTCATTAAGATTTAAGATTTTAATTATTATTACATGTTTCCTTATCTTTTTTGTTTTTCTAATTAGATAGTGCTTGCGTAGGAATATATAAAAGGCTTTGAGTATATTGAATTTATCAGATTTGTTTGGATATTGATTAATTAATATTAATTGGGATTGATCCCCGTTTATCTCCTTCTTCCCCTTCTTCCTCTTCTTCCTCTTCTATCTGTCCTCTTTTTTTTTTCTCTTCTCCTTCTCTTGCTTCAACAATTTTGATATCAAAACTAAAATAGATCCACCGATTCTGAATCAAATCGGCACGGTTGCCTCTTCAATCTTCATAGGACCTCGACAATTTGATTTAAGAAAAAACTGTGGTGATTTTTTTCCCTCAAAGAATGCGGTGTTCAATCTACAATTAGATCGTGATCAATTTCTGGTCTGGCAGAAGGCTGATGTTACATTAAATGGGTTAGACAACTTCTACAGATATTATCCTTTTGTCTTTCATGAGTGAAGTACGGCTTAATTTATTCATCATGCTATTTTGAAAGTATGGATAAGTTAATATACTTCGATTTCTTAGGTTTTTGATGTATTTGATGAAAGGAAAAATGGTGTCATCGAATTTGATGAATTTGTCCATGCACTCAACGTCTTCCATCCCTATGCTCCCACAGAAGACAAAATAGACTGTAAGGGATCAGACGCAATCTTTTTATTCTTATTATCAAAACAAATATCATGAGCTTAACCTCTTGGTGTTACCTTTGTGATGCCCTGCAGTTGCATTTAGGCTTTACGATTTGAGGCAAACTGGGTTTATTGAGCGAGAAGAAGTAAGTATTCTGCACTGTAAACTTAGCAATTGTTGCCACAACTAATGTTAAAACAAATACATGCTCTGAGAAACATAGACAGCTGATACATTAATTGTGTTTGGAGGTTTTCGAACCTTTTTGAACTCCTTATTAAGGTGGCTTGCAAGTTGCAAGCTTTTGAATCAACTTGGTTGCAGTTTCTGCATTTTGTAAATCTCTCTCTCTCTCTCTCTCTCACACACACACACACACACACACATGCGCACACACACACACCTGCATTGTAAAAGATGTCACATTACTCTTCCCTTTTGTGCTTATATTTATGGGCATGCATATGAGCATAAATGTTTGACTCTTATACATAAAACATTCATAATAACCAATGGCTGCCTCAATTTATCAGGATCTTGGGGACCTTAAGAACAGGAATGATTTAATGGCCAATTCTTTGCTCCGTAATTTTTAATATATTGGGACATAAGGCTTAGTTTGGTTTGATTTATGCTTTAAATTTACTGCTATTGACAAATGTGTAAATGACTAGATGAATATAATCTTTTTTATTAAAATAAGTTTGCATTTGTTATCATGCTTTTGCTAAGGCAGTCAACTGGTCATGTTTTTTGTCTGCTGCTTTGCTGTCATCAGTGGGTTGAGGACAGAAGATCAAACCTTCAAAGTTTAGTTTACAATTCCTATACAATCTATATATAGAAGAAAATGTGGTAGTAGGTGTAGTGGAGGTGATAGTGGGTTAGGTGAAGTGGAGTGTGTGGTGGAGTAGGTGAAGGTAAAGATGGGAAGTTCTAACAATATATATATATTTCAAAGGCCTTGAATTCATTCAATTTAGTGCAAAACAGAATTTAGCCCTCTATCTGGAGGTATATGTGTATGTATGTGTTCATTGAGAGACTGAAAGAAAAGAGAAGTGGTATCAGAAAAACTAGTTGAAAGCTGGCCTTCCTTACACCTTTTTATTTCTACAGCTTGTTTAAGGATGCCCTTTTCTTTTTGCATTTTCATTTGGTGAAATTTCATGGTCTGTGACCTTTTTTATCATACTAAACTGTGCACATTCCTTAAATTTCATTCATGAATTATGAGTAAAACAGCAATTGCTTTCAGGTGAAGCAAATGGTGATTGCAATTATGATGGAATCTGACGTGAATCTGACTGATGAACTTGTGGAGGCTATTATCAACAAGGTGAGAGTTTCTCCAATTTAAAGTGTTTTCCCTTCGAATTATTGCATCCTTTATGGAGCAGATTATAATCACGGAATTAATTATTCCACAGACGTTTGCTGATGCTGATGCTGACAAGGATGGTAAAATCAATAAAGAAGAATGGAAAGCTTTTGTTCTTCGAAACCCCACCCTCTTAAAGAACATGACTCTACCTTATTTGAAGTATGCCACTTTCTTCTGTCTTCATGTTTTTTTCTTTATTTCTCTCTTTCCAAATTTATTACAGACGTCAACGATAACTTTACAACTGTCCCTCTCCTTTTTCTGCTTCAATGCCCCCTCCAACTCCCTTTTCCTGTCATTGCATTCTCCAAACTGCCCCCTGCTCGCATAGAAAAAGCAAAAGAAAAATAAATCAAACCAAATCAAAAGCAAGCCTTCTGTCCTAATCAAGGAGGGTCAACTACATGAATATTTTTTTGCTATATTTGAAGTATGCCACTTTCTTCTGTCCTCATGTTTTTTTCTTTATTTCTCTCTTTCCAAATTTATTACAGACGTCAACGATAACTTTACAACTGCCCCTCTCCTTTTTCTCCTTCAATGCCCCCTCCAACTCCCTTTTCCTGTCATTGCATTCTCCAAACTGCCCCCTGCTCGCATAGAAAAAGCAAAAGAAAAATAAATCAAACCAAATCAAAAGCAAGCCTTCTGTCCTAATCAAGGAGGGTCAACTACATGAATATTTTTTTGCTATATGCTCCCTTAAATTAAGGGTTTAATTACACTAAGGCCTCATTTGGAAACATGCTATTTTAGTAACTTTTTGATTTTTTGGCTAAAATATGAGGTAAAAAAATTAGTATATTTGGAATGACTTTTGGGTTTTTTACGAAAAGATGTGCAAGAAACAGAGAAAAAATGAAATCTTTGACTTTTTGGTATAGGTTATTGGCTTTTTAATTTTTTTAGTGACTTTTTGACTTTTAGGCTAAAATATTGAGTTGCCAAATGAGGCGTAATTTTCTATTTGGTTCATTGGAATGAAAATGAAAATGATGACTCCTTAAACTCTCCTATGGAATGACCATTTTCTTAAAATGATCAAAGATGAATTCATTTGTAATGCATTTTTTATTAATTTTTTAAGCTAACCAAACATAGGAATGAATATTTTTGATGGAATGATCATTCCATTCTATTTCATTCCGGCGAACCAAACATCACCTAAGACTCCCTCAAGCATTTGTGAATATCATCTTTCCCCATCATCTACTAACCCGTGGATTTTGACCTCTCTCAACTATAAAAACGCATCACTTTCACCCCATTTTGTGCTTCTCCACAAGGGGGAATTTGTATGGTTTTCGGAGTTGAGGGGTCAACCATGCCATAGCTATTTTTCCTTATTCATTACCAGTGGATACAATTTGTAAATTTGAATTCCATTTTGCTATACTTAGCTTCCAAAATTGGAGGTTCTGCTTGTTACCAGCATCTATTTGACAGAATGAACTGAGGCAGTTTCCTTGACACTAAAAACACATTCAAAGTAATTCAACTCACCTTTGTTTATGATTTCATCATCCTCCAGGGACATCAGCACCGTATTTCCAAGTTTTATTTTCAACACTGAGGTTGAAGACTGAGATGCTGAAGTGCTTCTTTCCATATACGGAACCGTTGCTGAATCTTCAAATCCGTACTCCAGAGTTCAAGCTCTCATTATTGACGGATTTAGCTTTCCAAATGGCTTTCCTTGATGTCAGTAATTCTTGCAGTATTGCCGAAGATGGTGAAGGTGCTGCCTATCCAAGCAAGTCTCGAGCAGCTGCATCGCCTGATTGTACATTTCTTGTTCATTTCTGCATAAATCCAGTTAGAAGCTATTGTATTGTAGGTCATTTAAGAATTTGCAAAATTATTCTTTCTGTCGTCAATATGTAACCGAAGGTTGAAATTCCATTGAATCAAGTTATTGTCTATGCAACCCAAATACACTCTACTTGTCTGAATTTACTTGAATTAGAGCTCTGAACAAACCTTAATGCCATCGGCAGACTTTCTGGAGCCACTTTTTCCACTTTGTGATGTAGCTTTAACCATGGAAGAAAATAGGTGGAATATAAGATAAATGAGTAATGGGGAAAATAAGAACATCTAAATTTTAGACCCACAAATTCATTCATGATAATATAGCAATAGAGTTGGGCCTATTTGAGTGTTTCAAATCAGAAGTTGGCATTTATCCTGCTATATCATTGTAAGTCAAATTAGGAAATGTGAACAAGTGTGAATTGTGTTATTTTTTCAAATTTTACCTATCTATCTTATTTGAATTTTGAAAGGGAAACGATCAAAATAAAATTTTGATTAATATATAAAGAGTAAAGTGAGATTTTAATAAGAATAATGTTTGGGACCCCCTTTTGGGGGTCACCCCCTCACCCCCCTTTGCCACGTGGCAGGGGGTGATTGGTGGAGCAGGAAAAAAAAGAAAAAGAAAAAGAAAAGGTAACCAATGAGAGAGAGAGGGGGTCAAAGGGGGTGGGGGAAAAAGGGGGAATGAATCATTACTCATGTCAATTATACACTTTGTCTCATTTATGTTTGATCATTTTTTCACTTTATTTTATAAATTTTTTTTCCCTTACTTTAGCTCTTCAAGTTTCATGTTTTTCTCAATGTATTCCAAAATCAGGCCTCGTTTGGGAAGTAATAATTTTAGCCTAAAAGTCAAAAGTTACTAAAAAATCAAAAAGCCTATAACCTATACTAAAAAAATCAAAGATTTCTTTTTCTCTTTATTTTTTGCACATCTTTTCGTAAAAAATTAAAAAGTTATTTCAAACAAACAAGTTTTTTTCCTCATATTTTAGCCAAAAAGTCAAAAAATTACTAAAATAATCTGTTCCCAAACGAGAACTAATATCCAAAACTAGACAAAAAATATCACATAACAGTAACATAAAAATATTTTATTATATATAATTCATACCATACAAATCCAAATCTCAATAAAATAATATATTTTTTGTGTCACAATATTTTTGATCTACTTTTAAATAAAAAATAATTTTAACATATATATATATATATATATTTTTTTTCACCCATACATTCTATCTTCAAGATCTTCAAGATCTGCTGCAGAGAGTTGATCGTAAAAATCGTTCCCATTATCTGGTTCATTCTCCCATTGGTTACCTTGGTATTCTTCTTCCATTATTGGTGACTCATGAGAGACGCTATGCTGATAGTTGGGATACCGACTTTCATTGACGAATGTTTCTTTCCTGAAGGGAAAACCTGGAATGGCTAAGTTACAATATATCTTCTGATTTCTATCTTTGCAAACTAGATGACCATAATTTCCATTATATGCTAATAGAGGATTATTAGCAAATTTTTTCCATTTATTAAGCTGATCTCTGAGCAAAAATTTTCTGCATGGCCAGGGTCTTCAATTGAGAAGTCCTGGGTATCTTGGAAATGTCGAAGTTCCTCTAAGGTACATTTTATGCTTGGCGGGAATGCACCTTATTCCTTTCCATTCTGGTAGCTTGCTATTAATTAATACTTCTACAAATGGATGATGCTCTTCCATTACACAGAGTACTGAATGAGCAAGTTTATTTCCAAAATATCTGTCTAATCTGGATTTGAAAAAAATTATTCTAGAAACAAAGTCGTAATCTAACAATTGGGCAGCGGTTAGATGACGAGTTTTGCCTTCAATTTCTATCTCCAGTGGCTCAAAAGTTGCTAGATTTATCTAGCAAGGGCAGATGTTGAAATCTAGATTACACTGACATCTATCAAAATATTATGGCCTATCTATACATCTTTCTTCTTGCAAACAGGGTTGTTCTTCATCCTCATAAAGATAAGTCCATTGATATGCCATACCAGGGCACTAAACTCCTGCCATGGAGAGGTCTTGAAGAAACTGCTGTATAATGACTAACTTACTATTCCTGCTATCTTCAGCTAGGGTGTATATATAGGGTTTAAGGTCATTTATTTCTCGGCTTTTCTCACAAAAAGACTGAATGATAGAATGTCTGAAGAAATACATTCTAGCACTCAATTGTTCAAATTCCTCACTGGTAAGTTGTCTGATTTCTAGGTCATGAAAGGGAGTGAACGCTTTTTTCTGGAATTAGTTCTTTAAGCTGGCTAGTTAGGGTTCGAATGGTTGCTCTCAATTGTTTTTCTTCGTCTCGGAACTGGTCTAGCTCTTCATTGATTTTTTTGCCTTTATCCATAATTTTCTTGAAATTTTTTGAAAGGCCTTCACAATGTCTGCACATTTGGAAAGGATTTTGAGAATCTGGCTGAGAGTTAGTACTACTGCTTTATATTATCTGGCTAACTGGAACTCCACAAGTAGTAAGAATAGTTGACTGCATCCTGTTCAATGTGTCCAGATAATCTTTAGCTATTTGGCTGATAAAGTAACTGGTTCCTATCTGTTTGCAGGCATAGGGCTAACTCAAAATCACAAAATGCTTTAAACTGAGGTATAGGAAAATTTTTAACTAAAGGTTCAACTTCTACCCTGTTATTGTAAATACCGGGCTTGGTTCCTTTAGCTACTACGTTAAAAGAAAAGCTTTTAGACAAAGGTTTATTTTGGATTTTTGAAAAATATATACTGAGGGAGTTTAAGGCTGACAAACGTTTAGTTGGGTGATTGAGATTGTTCCAAAGGTTATCTAAAAGACACTGTTGAACTGGGTCTAGCTCGATTCCTGTTAATGGTTTGAATTTGTTTCTACCTTCATAAATGGGAAGAGCAAATCCCCCAAAGTTCATTGTTTTGCTGTTGTCCATTATCTGCACAGAAATTAAACTGGCTATTTTCTTTTTCAAAATAAATTTTCCTACTTAGCCAATCTGTTAATTTATTATCACACCCTTTAATATGTTCAAATTATACTTTATATCCTTGTCCTACTATACATCTAAAAATTTTGCCCATCTTCTACTACTAAGTTTACGCTCATTAAGTTTATTATGAAATCTAACTATAGCCTCGCAGTCTGTTCTAATTGTAAAGGCTTATGTAAAAATAGTCTAAATTTGTTTATTGCGTATACTATTCCTAATATTTCAAAATCTAAGCTAGTCATGGTTGTATCTTTTTCTTTAAATTTTTCAGAACTATATCTACAAATGCACTCTTTATTTTTACTATCATACTTGCTAGGTTTGGCTAATAATATTGTTCCCCATCCTGATTGGCTTGCATCTGTTTCTACGACTATATATTCTGATTCTAAGGGAAGTTGTAGGTCGGGTAAACTTTTACAAATATCTTTAATTTTTCTTACTAAAGTTATATTTTGTTGGTTAAAATATTTTTGCCCTGTGGGTGTGGTCTTTCTATATAGGGGTCCTATTATTTTACTAAGGTTAAGAATATAAATTTGTGCATAATTTAAAATTCCTAAAAATGATTGAAACTGTTTTGTATCTTCTAATTTATCTGGGTAATCTAAAATTTTCTTAACTATATGGGGTTGTAGCCTGATTTTTCCATCTCCTAATTCCATTCCTAAAAATTCTATATGAGGTTTATTTAATATCATTTTTCTCTTACTAATTATTATTCCATTGTTTATAAATTCTTCTAACATTATATATAAATGATCTATATGACTATTTTTATCTGGACTAAATACTAATATGCCATCTATATATACCAATATAAAACTATATTTATTAAATATACTATCCATCTTACACTGAAATATAGAAGTTGCATTTTTTAGTCCAAAAGGCATGACTAGCCATTCATAATATCCTTGTGGGCAATAAAATGTTGTCCAAGGTATGCTTTCTTTTTCCATTTTTATCTGCCCAAATCCTGACTTGCAATCAAATTTGCTAAATATTTTTGTTGTCTATATTCTGTTTATGAGCTGATCTTTATCTAGTATATTATATTTATCATCTTTTGTGTTGTCATTTAATCTTTTATAATTTATAACCATTCTAGCTTTCCCTATTTTTATCTCTGAGTGGTTTCTAACCATAAATGTGACGCTTCTATATGGGCTATTGCTAAGTTGAATTACTCCTAAATCTAATAATTCCCTAATATGTGTTCTAATTTCTTCTATATTTGCTGGCGTATGATCTATTTGTGCTGATGTAATCCTATAATCTTTATTTTTTATATCTAAACTAGCTAGAACTTTATTTCTTTCCCAGTATTTTATGAGTTGTTCTCCTAATATTTATGTTATTTTAGCTAATCTTATTATTTCATCTAAATCATTTTATGTTCTTCTGTATACTGGTTTTCGCTTTAGCTTTCTTATTTTTGCAAAAATTAATTCTAGGTTAACAATTTGTTGGAAATCTTCTATACTCTCTTCTATACTCCAAGAATCATATTTTTCTTCTAATTCAACATCTTCTATGTCTAAATTTTCTAAAGAACTATTTGCTATCTCTTCATTTGGTATATACTTTTAGGCTAGCTTAGGAAAAATGTTTCTACTAGGAAATAAAAAAACTAGCGGGAATAGAATCTACTCCTATGATACCACCACGCTTCGCACGCAACTCTGATGGATGGACAATGGTGCTAAGGGCGTATGCTGTGGGCGTATGTACTATTCGTTTGAAGAAGCTAATATTGCTATGGCTGATAAACATACCACCTTTTAGACTAAGTATAAAATTAAGTCCTAATATAAAAGGATGGTTTTGTCAAGTATTGCCAATCCAAACTTGGGGTAAAGGGAACCATTCTATATGTTGAGTCTGAGAACCTATATGATGAAAACTAATTTGTGCTCCATTGATACAATGTGTATATGTTTGTTTAGTGCCATCGACTATACTGACTAAAGCTGGTGTTGTTAAAGCTGTACTCCATCTTGGTGGAACTATGTGTTGTTCAATATATGATTTACTGGCTCTTGTATCTATCATAGCATCTAAGAGTTATTTCTGCAAGTTTGATTACACAAGTGATCTCAACTAAATTTGGCTTAGGTATGGCAGGGTAA